TGAGGTTTTGGCATCCGTGACCAAGTGGTTAGGCTACCGGACTCGTAATCGTGAGGTTGTGGGTTCGGGGGTTCGAGCGCTGGGTCTGACGTTCTGTCCTTGGGAAAGGGCTTTACACGAATTTTCCTCACTTCACCCAGGTGCAAAAGGGTGCCCGGCCATAGACAGCGGAAGATCTTGCCAGTATGTTAGTGTTATAGCGCCTATAAATGGCTGCTTGCACTGTAAGCTTCCAAGGAAGTTGAAGTTGTTTCAAAATGCTCTCAGGTCTGCTTGGGTAATAGACTGTGTAGATTGTGAAGCGTATAGAGCTTGCTGTTGAGCTGAGATTTGCGCTATACAAATTATGCTATTTATTATTATTATTATTATTATTACTATTATTATTATTATTATTATTATTATTATTATTATTATTATTATTATTATTATTATTATTATTATCATTATTATTATTATTATAATAATTATTATTATTATCATTTTTATTATTTATTAGTATTAGTATTTATTATTTTTATTATTATTATTATTATTATTATTATTATTATTCCTATTATTATTATTTTTATTAGTATTATTATTTATTATTATTATTTGTTATTATTATTATTATTGTTATTTTTATTATTATTATTATTATTATTATTATTATATTATTATTATTATTATTATTATTATTATTATTATTATTATTATTATTATTATGTAGTTCTCTCTTCCCCCCTCCTCAGAATGCACTGTTGTCCTCTTTACCGTTCGCCGGCAAGTTCATCACTGGCCTGCTGTGTGGCTACCTCGCTGACAAACTGCTCCGCACCAAGATGTCTGTCAGCTGCAACAGGAAGACCTTCCAGATGATAGGTACGTCTCTTTCAAGCTTTTTTGGTCTGTTTCAGCACATACTTCCTTCACCTGCGTCTATGGTGTAGCAGTTAGGCGCTTCGTTGCCTAATCCGGATTCGATTCTTGAGGGAGGAGACATTCAATTAACTTTCTTACCTAGTATCTCGGCTTTTCTGTAGTGATGTTGTATCTCTCTCAGCACGGGTTCGCCCTTACAGGCACGGCTGCAGGCCCACTACCTCAATGATCTAAAATGTGTCGATTTGGGGAGGGGGAGGATAAAAGGCAACACATTTTTTAAAGATATCATTATTTATCTAATTATTTCTTCCTTTAGACTCGTGGTAAAAACAATCAAGGTATGTACGTTGCATCTGGCAAGGCGAACAATCATAACCGTCACGAGTGAGATTATCCTAATGATCTCCATAATACAGAATCCTGCTCCTATCATAAACAACCTTGCTATAAAGAAAAGATGCCAAACATCCAGCTCGGTAAAACTGGCTTACGAATGAAAATTAGTCAGTATATCTTGATTTGTTTTCATTAATTTAAGATTATTATAGTGTGTTCTATCTTCGGCACTTATAATATGACCTACTTCTGTTGCGAGTGCCCGTAAAACTCGTAGTACAACTGAACGTAAAATATCTTTGTTTAAAAAGAGTTCGATTTCTACTGCTCATTGGTTGTTAATTTAGTTTAGCCTGCTAACTTACGTGTGATTTAAGTTTGGCCTCCTGGGTGATTGAATGTGACACCCTTGCTTTATTCCAATCTCGAAGCCAAGCGAGATCCCAGCAGTACTTGCAACAGGTGGATGGGATCGTTTAAAAACCATGCCTGCATCGCAGTGTTGTTACATTCCTTCTTTGTGGACATTCCGATAACAGCTTGCGGAACTGAAATAAAATTAATTTGCTAATTATTGATTCCCTCTCGAACACGGAATATCGCGCTGTTTCGGACAATCAACACAGCAGCGGTGTTATGTTGGTCGCTACAAACTCTTGTTCCTGGTCTTGTTACCGGTGTCTGTTGTGTAGTGATTACGCACTTCTCCGTCGCACGCAGGAGACCTGAGTTCGATTTCCGAGTGGGGATCCCCCCCCCCCCCCAAGTAGGTCAATCCTTCTACTGAGATCTTGTATCCTTTTCTGCCTAGGTTGGCCCTGATGGCTTGGAAGCCCGCCACCTCAATGGCCTAACTTAAGCCAATCGAGGTGTAAAAGTACTTTTCAGAACAATTTTGGTTATTGTTTTCATTGCACATGTTCTTTTTTTTTTTTTTCTTGTTGTTGTGTTGCGGTAGCTGTTGTTGTTTTTTTTTTCGTGGTTGTCGTCGTCGTCGTCGTCGTTGCTGTTGTTTCTTGTTCTTGTTCTTGTTCTTGTTCTTTTTCTTCTTGTTCTTCTTTTTTTCTTGTTCTTCTTGTTGTTGTTGTTGTTGTTGTTGTTGTTCTTCTTCTTCTTCTTCTTCTTCTTCTTCTTCTTCTTCTTCTTCTTCTTCTTCTCCGTTATATATATCACTCTCTCAGTCACCCCCCAAATGTCTCCCCAGGCTGTGTGGGCTGCAGTATATGTACCCTGGTCATCAGCTTCCTGGACCACAATAGCCGTGACGTGGCAGTGGTGCTACTCATTCTGGCAGTCGCCACTCAGAATATAACATCCGTGGCCTTCAGAATAAACGCCCTTGACATTGCTCCAAGGTCAGTCTGCAGTTCTGCTTACTTTACTTACACGTACTTTATCTGTCCTCTTGTACCTAAAGGACGTCGAGGGGAGAAAGAGCTCCCTGTCTCTAGCAAGTTTGATAGCCTTGTTGGGTGGGATATTGTTTGATCTCAGTGTAACGACCCATCACACCCCTTTTCCACACACATTGTAAGATCACGCAGCGGCAGATATGTACCTTAAAAAACAAAGAAAGAAAGATATAAAAGAAGTTTTTTACCATCTAGCATAAGGCTTTTGTCAGAATGAGCATAGATGTGTGTTGCTCTTAGAGTATGTATCTGCATATAACTCCAAAGGTCTAGTATTTAAATTCCTGCATGTGGTTGAATGATGCATTTGATGTAAATGTACATTTTGTCAGCTTTACTTCTCCTTTTATATTGAATTTTAATGAGAGTAATATATATGATTTAATTTTTTAATGTATACTTGCATGTGTTTTTATGGTCCTGTACAGCCAAGGAAAATTTCCCTCTGGGATAATGAAGTACTATCTTATCTTATCTTATCCTTCACATTTCCACTACAGTTTTAATAACGTGCATGTTTGTTGATAAGTTTTGTTCCACATTATTAATCTACATTATACAAGCTAGTCACGTTCCATACTTAGTTCGTAGTTAGTGACCGTGGATTGATCATGGGTGATTTTGCAACCAATCCCTGCACCCCCTCTCTGTCTGTCTGACGCTATCCGTCCATCTGTCTGTCTGTCTGTCTGTCTGTCTGTCTGTCTGTATGTCTGTCTGTCTGTCTTTCTCTCTCTCTCTCTCTCTCTCTCTCTCTCTCTCTCTCTCTTTCTCTCTCTTTCTCTCTATCTCTCTCTTGTTTTTTCTGTCTCTCTAATAGTTTGTCTTTGTCTCTGTCTCTGTCTCTCTGCATATCTCTCTCTCTCTCTTTCTCTCTCTCTCTCTCTCTCTCTCTCTCTCTCTCTCTCTCTGGACAGCCGTCATGATCCATTCTCCAGTCGTTATTATTTTATTATTTGACCCTCCAATGAATGAACCGAACAGGTTGCGTAGACCCCCCCCTCCCGCTGTTTACCCATGTTGACCGACCAGTAGGCACAAATTGGTAGCTTTTAAGCTCAAGGGGGCTATCCCGAAAAAGTGCTGTTTTGAGAAAATCGTAGGTAAAGTTGTTTTTTTTACCCTTGTTCAGTTCCTTTAAAAGACAAGGAGAGTTTTCTCTATAACCAAACAAATGTACACACCAAAGAAACCAAACTTTCCTATAGGTAGGGCAATGCCCACTTTTGGTATAGGTCAAGATTTCTGGAAACCCCTGGAATCTGGGTTAGCCTGTTCAGTGGCGGTGGGTAGTAAAGGGCTTACGGGCTTGAGCCCCTCACCCCCACCCCCTCCCCACCCCAACTCTATCAGAGAAATTTGGAGGTGAAACGGTTTCGTCCCCACCATCCAGAAGAGCTTAACTTTAAGAACGAAGAGATGGAAGACAAAGGTGACTCTTCTCGTTTGAATGGTTCTCAAAATGCCGTAGCTCGCAGGGGTGCTACTCATTCTGGCAGTCGCCACTCAGAATATAACATCCGTAGCAAAATCATCACGGTTTTGTTTTTGTTGCTTGCTTTTTGGTGGTAAAGAAGTGGAAGAAACCTAAGCCCCACCCAAATCTTGGTCCACCCACCGTCACTCAGCCTGTTTGTCCTTACAAACTTCACCTTGTTGTGAGAAGGGCGTTGATCCTCCATAACCTATTTACCCAGTCGGTAACAATAGAGTGGTGGGCGACCCCTTAATTTGTTTGTTTTATAATAAATCATATTGACACTCGATCTTCCTCGTCTGACACATCTTGTTTGTTTGATATCTGCACAAAACCAACACAAACAACAAACCAACCAACAAAACAAACAAAAATAGACAAAGAAACAAACAAACAAACAAACAAACAAACAACCTTCCTCCCCCAGAAAAAATATCTTCCCGTCTTCCTTTCCCGAAAAAAAACCTTCTACCCCCCCCCCCCCAAACCCCCCCCCAAAAAAAAACCCACCAAAAAAAAAAACGAAAACAGAACACATAAACATTTCATATTATTATGTAGCTAGCTTTCTCACACACCCTTGATTATCACTCTCTGCTCAGGTACGCTGGATTTATCCTGGGGCTGTCCAGCACTGTTGCTGTGGCTGTCTCCATGACTGCTCCCCTTGTCACGTCAGCTGTCGTTATAGACGTAAGTTGGCTACATAGGCCTAATTTTAAAAAACAGCAAACAAACCCTCAGAAAAACAAACACACAAACAAACAAACAACCAAACAAACAAGCCAGTAAACAGACAAATGAGCACCAAAAAATCAACAACAAACACAAACAAACAATCAAACAAACAAATAAGCAAACAAACAAATAAGCAAAAAAACAACAAACAAACAAACAAACAAACAAAT